TTTGAAAAAGTTACACACAGAAAAAAGGAGAGGCAGAGAAAGACAGAGAGAGAGAGAATCTTCCGTCCACTGCTTCACTCTCCAATTGGCCACAACAGTCAGAGCTGCGCCAATCTGAAGCCTGGAGCCAGGAGCTTCTTCCGGGTCTCCCACACAGGTGCAGGGGCCCAAGCACTTGGGCCATCTTCTACTGCTTTCCCAGGCCACAGCAGAGAGCTGGATTGCAACTGGAGCCCATATGGGATGCCAGCACTGCAGGCGGCGGCTTTACCCACTACACCACAGCGCTGGCCCCAAGTCTGCTTCTTTATATTAACTTGATAAAGCTAAATATTTATGTTGATGAAAAAGTAACTTGAAAAGGTAAAACGGTGCATTACAGATCATACAAGAAAGCTAGTATAAGAGCAATATGGATACCAGCACTGTGGCATAGTAGGTTACGCCTCCACCTGCAGTGCTGGCATCACAGCACTGGTTTGAGTCCCAGCTGCTCCACTTCTGATGCAGCTCCCTGCTAATGGCCTGGGAAAGCAGTAAAAGATGGTCCAAGTGCTTGGGTCTCTGCACTCACATGGGAGATCCGGAAGAAGCTCTTAGTTCCTGGCTTCAGATCGGCTCAGCTCCGGCCATTTGGGGAGTGAACTAGAGGATGGAAGACCAATCTTGCTGTCTCTCCCTCTCTGTCTGTAACTCTGCCTCTCAAATAAATAAAATCTGGGGCCGGTGCTGTGGTGCAGTGGGTTAACGCACTGGGCTGAAGCGCCGGCATCCCATATGGGTGCCGGTTCTAGTCCCGGCTGCTCCTCTTCCAATCCAGCTCTGTGCTATGGCCTGGGAAAGCAGTAGAAGATGGCCCAAGACCTTGGGCCTCTGCACCCGTGTAGGAGACCTGGAAGAAGCTCCTGGCTCCTGATCGGCACAGCTCCGACCCTTGTGGCCATCTGGGGAGTGAACCACCGGACAGAAGACCTCTCTCTCTACCTCTCCTCTCTCTGTGTAACTCTGACTTTCAAATAAATAAATAAATCTAAAAAAATTAAAATAAATAAAGAAAATCTTTTTAAAAAAGAGTAATATGACAGGGGCTGGCACTGTGACACAGCAGGTAAAGCTGCCGCCTATGATGCTGGCATCTCATATGGGCACCAGCTCGTGTCCCCGCTGCTCCACTTCCAGTTCAGCTCCCTGCTAATGGCCTGAGAAAAACAGCAGAGGATGGCCCAAGTGCTTGGGCCCCTGCCACCCACATGGGAGACCCAGATGAAGCTCTTGGCTCCCGACTTCAGTGTAGCTCAGTCCCAGATATTGCAGCCATCTGGGGCATGAACCAGTGGATAGATCTCTCTCTCTCTCCCTCTTTGTAACTCTTTTACATGAATGAATGAATAAATAAATAAATGAATTTAAAAAGGAGTAATATGGCACATCTATGTCACTGAAAACAATTGGAGGGGCTGGCACTGTGGTGTAGTGAGCTGGGCTTCCACCTGTGACGCTGGCACTCCATATGGACACTAGGTCATATTTTGGGTGCTCCTCTTCCATTCCAGCTATCTATCTGCTTATGGCCTAGGAAAGCAGTGGAGGATGGCCCAAGTGATTGGGCCCCTGCCTGATGTAGGAGACCCAGAAGAAGCTCCTGGCTCCTAGCTTCGGGCTGGCCCAGCTCCGGCTATCTGGGGAGAGAACTAGTGGATGGAAGGCTTTTCTCTCTTTCTCTCCCTCTATGTGTCTATAACTCTGTCAAATAAATAATAATAAATTGGAAATAACTATCTCAGAAATTATGAACATGGTAATTTATTACATTAAAAAGTATGTTACAAAATAATACTCATAATCCCATTTTAATAAAAGCTTTAAACATTAGCCATATTAGGCTATATTAAAATGTTAAGAAAGGTCATTTTCTAGGTAGTTTATAATAGAAAAATTAAAAACTATTTTCCAAAATACACTGCTTTTTAAGGTATCTCCTCTAACCAGACATAAAAATAGTCTGAAATGAATTCATTTTTGTATTCTTCAAATACACAGTACTCTCTTCTTAACAGACACCTTTGTTGAGTGAATGATACGGAGAATGTGGGATTACAAATAACAACTGAAGCTGCTTAAAATAACCAAACCCAAAACCTTTGTAGGAGAATTACATTTGTCCCCCAAGTCATATTTCACTCATGGTTTTAATTTACAGCTAGGAAATGTTGTACTTTTAACAAACAGAAAAGAAACACAGATAATGAGTGTCAGTTAAAAAATGGTGGGGTGTAGATGACATGGAAATCTTACAAATATTTTATTTTTGAAATAACAAGGCAAATAAAAAAGCTTACACTAAATTTTCTCTGACCATATCTGATTTATGTAATTTGTAATTCACATTTATTTGGTTTCTACTTGTATAATGGACAGATGGGCAATGTTCTGTGTGAATAAAAGGAACACAAATATTTATGGGGCCTTTACAATGACTTTAAACACATGTACTCTGTTCATGAAATGCCAATCCTTCTGTGGACTATACTAAGTCATACTATAAAACTATAGTAATTAAACTAAATGTGCACAGATGGATCAATGAAATAGAAATATTCTAAAAAGAAAATCCATTTCTTATAGAAACTTTCTATAAGACAAAGATGGCATTTCAAAACAGTGAGGAAAGGACAGAGCAGCTATTTAGTGAATAGTCCTGGGACGACTATGGAAGCAGTGATTAGATCTCCACCACACACATGTAAACACCCTGCAGTTAGGCTGAGGAGCTAAATATTGAAAAGAGAAGAAAACAGGCTATTTGATTAATCTTGGGATAAAGAAGTTCTCTTTAAACGATATGCCACATGCAGAAGAAGGAAATACTAATAAATCTGGAATGATAATTTAAAAATCCTGTTCAACAAAAGAAGGGGACAAGCAATACATTGAGAAAAAAATACTTGCAACATACTTCATAGGCAAAGGATCAATACTAAAATGCAAGAGAAATGATCTGGAATTTCTCTCGCAACAATAGCTAGCACACGATGCTTACACCAGGTGCTTTTCTGAATACTTTGGAGATCAATTCATTTCATCTCACAACCAGGTATTATTATTCTTATTTTTACATGAGAAAACTGAGGTAGAGGTTACAGAAGTTGTGCAGGGATATGGGGTCAGGAATGTAAAGCTAGAATTCCAAGGCAGCAAATCCTATGGTTCTTGCTTTCCTTTTCTCTCTTAATCCTCAGATGCCAGTAAAGGACACGGAGGACCAGCACTCTCACTTCACTGCTTCCCAACTTTATGCGGCTGCTCTCCTGTCTCAGGGCTTACTTAGCTCCACTCAAACTTTCCCTGAAAGCCTGTTTGTCGACGCAGCAACATCACGGCTGAACTGGTTAATTCCCCATTCCTGCCAGTGGGCTGACACACTCCTGCTCTCTACTCTTTCATATTTGTCCTCCGCTTCTTTCTCAACAAGTTCAAGAGCCAAGACTGAACGAACGGTGAGAAGCTCAAGCATTCCTTTTCTGCCTTGCTCAAAAGCCACCTTCCGGGTTTTCAGAAATACATTAATTGCAATCCAAAATCTCAAATTCTCTGGTTTACTGTCTGCAACACATATGTTAAGTATAAAGTATGCAAGAGAAAAAATAAAATCCATGTCATAGCTCTCCGAACACTTGAGCTATGCCTATCCCTGTCGAGGCTCCATTATGAAGAGAAACCCAGAAGGGAACATGGAGCTTTGAGAGGTTGTTCCTAAACTCCACCACATGAAAGTACTGAAAGCTGAGCACGGATGAAGTCTGCAAGGCTAACACAGCCTTGGGTTTTTAAACAAGCCTAACAGGATTCCACTGGAGATTTTCATCTGTACATCCCAAACCTCCTGACCCTCTTCTCGCACTGTGTTCTACTACCAACTTGGTTTCTGGCTATGACAAAATAATTCAAATGTGTAGGGGTGAAATGGGCACTGTGACAACCCGACAGGTGGGGGTCAGAGAACAGTGCTTTGCTAAGCACCCAGGGGAGGGGCCCCAAAGCGATGCCGGTATTTTCACCCAAAGCGATATTTAAGAATGTTCCTCACTGAACGGATAGGGTGCTAAGAAGAGATTAAGGTCAGTAGGAGAATGTAAAATTGGAATATGCAAGATCACATTGGCCAGACTAACCCTCCCCGAAAACACAAAGCTCTCTGACTACCGGCTCCACCCAGGCCCGAGGCAGGGACTTCACACCTGACCGGGTCCCCAGCGCAAGCCAACCCTTGCTGGACAGCTCCGCCACGACCCGGCGGTAGGCACCCACCCCTAAGGCTCCCCGGCCAAGGCACCTGGAGGCATCCCACCACCCGCGAGCTCCGCGTCCTCGCCGGGCTGCAGGGAAGACCCGAGGGGCCGAGAGGCGAGCGGCGCCCGCCCCCCACCGCCCTCTGCTACTCCAGCCCTGGAAGCCACAAGTGAGCAGAAGAAGTTGTGGCAACCAGACGGGGTGAGGCGGGGTGAGGCGTGGGGGGGGGGGGCGAGAGTATTTAATGCCAGGCATCGGCGCTGGTCCCACGCAAGGTCGTTCACTCCCACTCACTTCTCTGCTCCCCCGGGCGGGCTTCCCGCCAAAGACGCCGCCGGGCTTCGAGGCCAGCCCGCCGCGCCCCCTCAGCCCTCCCCGGCGGGCCGCGGCCCCTCCCGGCCGCAGCTCCGAGCCCAGCCCGCTTCCCGACACCCCTCGCCGGCGCCCGGCGCCCCTCGCAGCCCAGGCCCCGGGGCTCCTTCGCCCCCGTGCCCGCGGCTCCCGCCAACGTCCCCCTCCGCCCTCAGGACGCCCCCGTGCCCGCCTCCCGCGCCCCGTGGCGCCGGGGCCTGGGACCTCGGCCCCTTCCTGTCCCCCCTCGCTGCCCCTCTCCTCGGGGGCCCACCTGGCGCCCCAGTCCCCGGCCGGTCTCCTCAGGGAGCGACCGCCTCCCAAGTCCTCCCGGCCCCTCCCCGCTCCCGGGCGGATACAGTTTGAAGCCTCTCAGGATCTCCCTGGCCCGCTCGTCCTTGGCTGACATGTTGCGGCGGCCGCCGCCCGCGGCTCTCTCACGCTGCCCTGCGGAGCCTCGCGGACCGTGCCCAGGAAGCGAGCACAGAGCCGCAGCCCGGCCTGGAGACCTCGGGCAAGCAGAGGCAGCGGCCAGACCCGGACCGGCCTCTCCCTCCCCTCAGCTCCCGCTCCTGATCCTTCTCCTTCCCTCTGGTCTCGGAGCGCCCGCCCCTAAGCCAATGGAAAGCCCGCCTCGGCGATTGGCATTCTCACCAGCCAATAGCAACGCTCAGCGGCTTCGCAGGGGGACGAAGAGCATCCATGGGAAGCGCCCTCCCCGAGAAGTCCCATAGGACAAAATTTTCACTGGGTGTTGTTGCCTAGAGTTAGCCCCAGTGGGGGCTTGGCTTGACATCTGCAGAGGCTCTAGGGGCCTGCTCCTGCTGCTGGGCTCACTAGTCTCCTGAGACGACCGCAGGTTGCATTGTGCGAAGGGGCAGAGGACTACATTTCCCAGAATTCCAGTAGAGCGCCAGGGGACCACAGATCCCAGCACGCAGCAGAGAGGCCCAGGGACTACAAATCCCAGCATTCGTCGCGTCCCGAGGCTCTGTAACTTAGGCTCCAGTGTGCCGCGCAGTGTGCGCAAATTCGTAAACCTGCCGGCAAGGTCGGTGGTTTCTGCATCCCGAGACTGAAAACCAGGCGGGAAGACCCTGTGGCCCGGTGAAAGACGATGACAGCCCACAGAGAATTAACTTCTGTTTACATGGAACTCAGAAATCGCCTGCAAATCATGGTAAGGTTGCAAACAACAAAAACACTGATTAAACCACGAAAGAATGTAACAAAACGACTTCTTCAAACCGTGCTTGTTTGTTGGACGGGGGCGCCGTTTGCGTGTTTTGCGGGGACCTCTGGTGTGTTCCTGCCTCGGACCAGGAGAGCTATCGATTGTGTGCTCTGTCAATACGGGAAGGTGCTTGAAAGAATTTGCTAATCCTGCCCCTGCTGTTTTTACGTGCGAGGGAATTGAGGCCCAGAGAGGCGAGAGACCGGCCTCAGGTCACTGCAAGTTGGGGCAGAGTTAGGATTCGGCCCCGAGTCTGTCGCCCGCAGCCTGGGAGGTGATATTTTTAGCAGTATGGCAGTGCGATTACTGCCCGCCTTGTTGAGTAGTTTGCCCATCCAAGGTTGGAACACCCAGAGGTTGGGTAAAGCATTTATTCGGTGGATTTCTGGCAGATGAGGAAGTGTGTGATATTTGTTTTGGTAGAACTTGGTCTTTTGATTTGTTCTTTCTTTGTCACTCAAGGTGACATTTGATGTGATTTCAGGAAGTGGGTAAAATCGCAGGGTGAGCCCGGGCTTCCTGGGAGATGCTCTGTGTGTTTTCCTAGGACTTTCTTCCTCTCGTCCCCCTCTGCACCCAGCTTTTCACCAGCTTGTCACCCTCTGCACTCAGCTTTTCCTTCTGGGTAATTCAACAAACGTGCTTTCTGCTTCTGTGATTTGTCGGGCACTTAGTGGGTAGAAGACATGGTCCCTGCCTCCACAAAGATGACCGTCTATTTGAGTTAGGGAGACTCCACTGAGAATCAGGATGGAGCGTGACAAAGGGCATCAAGGTGACAGCAGTATGCCACGGGGGGCTCTGGTGGAGAGATTGATTATAGCTGGCCAAAGCTGATGGAGGAGGTGGCCTTTGAGCTTGAGAGATGGGTAGGATTTTCTGTTAAAAAATTTTATCTAAAAATATTTTGTTAATGAGATAGAATATTACATATGGTAAGGGAACACTTTTCACGTTTGTGAAAACCCCTGTTGTCATCCCCCAAATCAAAACATGGAAGATTTCCAGCCACGCCTTCTGCCAGTTTGCAGTCAGTATTGCATCCTGCCATCCGGAGAAAAGCAATGCTTCTGGCTTTATTTCTGTAGATCAGTTTCATCAGCTCTTGAGTTCCACTTTAAATATAATCATACAGTATGGACAATTTGTGTCTGGTTTGTTTTGTTCATCAGTATTTTTGTGAGATTCATCCATGTTGTGTCATTTTTTTTTTTTTTGAGTAGTATTCCATTGAATACACACACACACACACTGTATACCACAGTTTATTCTACTGTTGGAGGGCATTTGGGTTCTCATCCTTTTTGTGGCTTTTATAATGCTGCAGTGAGCATTCTGGCTTCTCTTTGTGGATGTTTGTCTGCTTTCCTGGAAGAGCTGCTGGCCTGCAGGCTACGCGCGTCCCCACTGATAGCAGATACTGCCAGTTTTCCAAAGCGGTTGTAACAGTTTTGTGCCTGCACCAGCAACGTGGGAGGGTTATGGTTGCCTCTGATCCTTGTCAACCCAGAGTGTTTGCTGTCACTCTTGTTGGCATTAGTCACACCTTTCCTGAGATTAAGCACCTTTTCATTTGCTTATTGCTACCTGAATGTCTTCTCTTGTGAAGTGCCTGCTTTTCACAGATTGGGCTGTTTGTCTTCCTATTAATTTGTGGTTCTTTACATAGTCTGGGTAAGAACCCAGTTGTCTACACGCTTCCAGTCTTTGTATCTTTCCCAAGACTGTGCTTCGTCTTTTCACTCTCTTTTCAAACAGAAATTCATGGCTTTAATGTGGTGCAAAACTCAGTGCTTTTTGCATGAATTTAAGAAGTTGTTGTCTGTGGAGTTGGTAGGATTTTTACACCCAAATATAAGAGAAAAGCATTGCAAAGAAGAACAGAGAACGAGCCCGAGCACAGGCTGGTGTGGTCAGGGGAGGTAAAGGCCTGGAGCTTGGGCTGGGAGGAGGGTGGCGCAAGGAACAGCTGGGAGGGGTAGGAGGGAGGACCCCAGGAAGGGCTTTGCCTGGAGCCTCGGAGCCTGGACATCACTCTGGAGGAAGCAGAGGCTTCGCTGGGACATTTGAGAGCTCACGCTGGACTCAGTTGCCTTCTTCCCACCCCCAAGTGTTGCCCCTTCTCCACCACGTACTTTGTTCACTTAGCACCTCCAGGTAGCCCTGGCCGCCCAGGCCAGAATCCTGGGGCACATCCTCCTTCCTTCTCCCTGAGTTCAACTGATCACCAAGTCTTACAGTTTGTGTGGCTTAACGTCTCCAACAATGCTCCTTCTTTTCCATTCCCAGCTGCCACTGTCTTTGCTTGAGATCATACGATATATATATATATATATATATTTTTTTTTTGACAGGCAGAGTGGACAGTGAGAGAGAGAGACAGAGAGAAAGGTCTTCCTTTGCCATTGGTTCACCCTCCAATGGCCGCCATGGCCTGCGCGCTATGGCAGGCGCATCGCGCTGATCCGAAGGCAGGAGCCAGGTGCTTCTCCTGGTCTCCCATGGAGTGCAGGGCCCAAGCACTTGGGCCATCCTCCACTGCACTCCCGGGCCACAGCAGAGAGCTGGCCTGGAAGAGGGGCAACTGGGACAGAATCTGGCGCCCCGACCGGGACTAGAACCCGGTGTGCTGGCGCTGCAAGGTGGAGGATTAGCCTAGTGAGCCGCGGCGCTGGCCAATCATATGATATTTTATCCTGAATCACTCAGTCACCTCCGTGTTTGGTTTCCTTGGTTTCCTCTCTCTCCAGCCCCTTCTTATAGCACCTAGTGTGATCATTCCCAGATGAAAAAAGCCTAAATAGTTCCGCAGTGCCCTGATAGAGTGAAAACCTCATGCATCTGGCTTATGCCCTTTGCAGTTGGCATTCTTTCCCCAGATTCAGTGTAAGCCCCAGTCTTCAGAAGCCTGCCCTGAATCACCTTTCCCCGGGGTGCAGTCAGGAGAGCTTCATCTGGACCCCCAGGGTGCTTGTGGCAAGCCTGTCCTGGCCAGGCAGCTCTGTCTCCCCCAGGGGTGCTAAGCTCCTCAAGGCGGGAACTTGGTAGCATTTAGGTTTTTCCTCGCATGGGGACTCCAGCTCTGTGCCCCTCATCGCTCACTCCTAAACCCTGAGTTCCAGCTTCGCTGGGTTTCTTTCCCCCATCAGTGTATCCTGTACAGTGCAAGCATCTGGGACTATGGGCACTCCTCCCCTTTCTCCCACTTTATGTCTGAAAAATGGTCCTTGTTTTCTTCCTTAATCTCTTCTCTTCGAGTGCTTCCAAAGTGTTTCTCTCCATAGCGCTTAAGCACATGGGAGCTTTCTGAGCACAAGAATCTTATGTTATCTTCACGTAATCTGAACATGATAGGCACCAAGCACATCAATGAAGGGGTTGGCCCCAGGCTGCCTAGCATCAGCCCTGTCTGATCTCTGTCAGGCATAACAGGCAAATAGGGCTCTTTCCTTCATGTTCAAGATGGGAAAGTCTGGTGTATATTTAGCTGACCGGTTTCCCTGGGGAATTGGTAAGCACCAATGCAAAGCCATGTATGTCATTTTGCTCACAGACCCATTGGTGGCTCAACCCACCCCTTGCTTATTTTAAGATCTTTTCTGAATAGCGCTCAAGAGCTATTTGACTTAATATAGCCTGGGTTCCAGTGCCGGCTTTGCTACTTACTGATTTTTGGATTCTTAGGCGCAGGCATCTCTCTTGAAAAATGGGACTACTATTTCAGGCCAATAGAGTTAACGAGAATTCAGTCAGCTAATACATGTGCAGTACTTGGCACATGGAAAAAGCACTCAACACACGACCGTGGTTGTTGGGCTTAATATTCCGTAGCAAGGGGTGGGTAGACCAGTCGCCTTAGAAAACTCCCGGGGTGGACTTTGGGCCCACGATGGTGGGCCCCAGTACTAGCTAGACCTCATTCCCCTACTCGGGCCCCTCGCCAACCCCGGCTCAGTCCAGTTCCCCCGCCGGCCGGGACCCTCTTCCCAGGCCCTTGGCCCCACTGGCGGCCGAAGGCTGCGAACGCGGCGGGGGAACCTTCTGTGGGCGGAACTCGAGTGCAGCGGTGGGAGGCTTCCGGGGGAGCCGCACGGGCGACGGGTCGGCGGAGGCAGAAAAGCGCCGGACGCCGGGCCGATCATGGACGCTTGACAACCTGCGGGCAGCGCCGGGAGGCCGAGCCAGAGACGAAGAGGACCGAGAGGCGGCGCGGACAGGTAGGGGCCGGCGTGCCAGTCTCGGCCGAACAGGGCGGCTTCGCGCCCGCCGCCCAGCCCCCGGCCCGGGGAGCGCGCCGCGCGGCTCCTCGCCCCACGCCCGCGGCCCTGCCCGGAGCATGCCGCCCGCACTGAAGTCCACCCCAGCTTCCGACCCCTTGGCTT